CGGAACATTCCCTCAAAATTTCGGCTTTCCAGCTTTTCTGGTTACCCAGTTAGCAATTTTCCCGCCAATATCTTTACATACCCGTACTTGGTTACTCCACGTGCTTGGAAAGCTGAATTTGAAATTTTTAAATTGCACTACGGACAGGGAAGATCGGCCTAAAATTTCAGTCTTCCAGCTCTTCTGGTGGCCGAGTTAGTAATTTTCCTGCAGAAACTTTCATACGCCTTCACGTGAGTACTATGTATAGGTTGGGGCTGAATTTGAAACATTTGGGTTGTACTTGGATAGGAAATATTCTCCTAAAATTTCAGCCTCTTAGGTTTTCTGGCATCCGAGTTAGCAATTTTTCCCCTGAAAATTTCATACGCTCTTACGTGAGTACCACGCATACCTGAGGGCTGAATTTGAAATCTTTAGCAAGTACATTCACAGTGAATATCCCCACAAATTTCAGCCCCTTAGCTCGTGTGGTCCCTGAGGTCGCTTTCCCACCAAAAAATTTGCATATTTTTTTTAAAACGCCCGTACTCGGCACCCAAACGTTCGAGGCGGATGAAATTAAAACGGGAGATTCGCGCACGGTATGGGCACATACTTCTAAAGTTTCAGCCTTCTAGCTTTCTGGTTCTCGAGTTGAAAGTGGGTGACAAAAAATGCGAACACACAGACAACACACAGATAGCATCTTCCCAATATGCGTTTTCGCAATTTGCATATATGCAAAAACGCATAAAAAACAATTGCAGTAAGTGCGATCATGTGTTTTTGAAAGTTCCGTGCTATAGCGAAATCGGCTGTGCTACTGGAGTGAAACTGCGATGTTGCAATTTGATCATTTGAAGTGCTTGTGCTCTGAACCAGTGCCTAGGCTGAAGCCCATCTTAGGCTTAGTGACCCGCAGTACAAGCTATCTCACTACATTTCGAAATCCTGTAAAAACACCCAATTTAGCAATAGTGGCATGTGTCGTTTCCCGTGGATCATCACTGTCACCTTACTAATTCTAAAATACAGTGTCTTTTATCTGATTATTAAAAAGCCGCTCGTCAGAATTTCTCGTGCAAAAGTGTGTCAGAGGCATTTCCCGCAGTGATTTCAGGTTTCAAAAAGAATTATCATAGCTGTGACAGTACGAATGTGCGGAAGAAATCAAACGAAGATAATGATCCATTGCCTTCCTTTCGCCTCAATTCCACTCCGTTTGCCTCAGTTGTTGATAATATTGCTGGATCGACTACTACAATGCAGGTACCACTCTTGCGGGATGACTGGGAACAGCGAGCATTCGACCAGAGTACGGGTGCTAGGGTGCTAGAAGTATTTGGCTGGGCTGAAAACTTCAAGGCCGACAAAATGTAGCAGGATGTGCTGAGTTGTACTAGAAGTTGGTAAAATAAGCTGTGTCATAAAATTAAAGTGAATAGATAGCAGCCTGCGCTTCCTTATACGTTTCTTGTGCCGTTGATGAAATGTAAAAGCTTATATTGTAGAGAAGTTATATGTGTATGTATGTGCGCATGTGTACGTTTATGTGTATGTGTGTGCGTATGTGCATCTAGATTTTACCCTGGTTTTTAACTCGACAACCAGAAAAATTAAAAAGCTGAAACTTTTGGAAGACTTTTCCAGTAAATATACTATCCTGGAGAACTGAGTTCAGATTTCATTAAGTCGATCATTCGTTAAAAGGGTACTTAGCCTCCCTGAATACCATAGGGTCAATTGCTGACTCTTTCAAGACTAAGGAAGTTTTCGACTGGATTTTTTGCGCCGTCATAATCAGAGTTTTTTTTGGTTAAGAGAGGAACTTAGTTTGCTTCTCTTAGTTTGTTTTTTAGATATATGGGAAACCGTGCCATCGGGACACTTCAATACTGTATATGTTACTTATGTTCGGTACACTGTGGCTTGGTCTTTTTTTATACAACTTCAGGTAAGTGCTTAGTCTCTTTTTTTTCAAGATATTTTCTTTCAGAATGAGAAAGAGTGGTACGACAGTAAGTCCTCCCGTATTCTGACTATTTTATGGGAAGCTGCAAGCTTCGCTGTTTGTTCCTATAAAATAGTCAGAATACGGGAGGACTTATTGTCGTATCACCCTCAAAAAAATAGTCACCACAAGCTTTTCTACTTCCCATCGATGACAAACTCATGTTAGCTGGTGATGTATTCCACTCCCTTTTTAACTCGTTTCTAAAACCGTCCTCGAAGGAGGGGATCGTGCCAGATACATGTCAGCATATGGTTGCTTTTTGTAACAGTGAGTGCCCTGTTTTTGTGAGAAATTGAAAATGAAGGAGATTAGGAGTTTTTTATTTATTTCACTGCTATACTGCAAAACAAACCGTCAGGCAGCGTAAGTGTTCATGTATATTCGTGCATGTATTTTACTGATGTAGATTTTTTAGGAAAACGCCATATTTGACGCGTTCACGTCGTGAGTGGCTAGCAGATTATGCGCTTCCTGCTTCGGTTCTTATCATGTCTTTTACGGGTGCCTACTGCTTTTATGATATTGAAAGTTAGTACCCAGTCAATTTTTTCATGCGGCTTTGTTACTGGACACGGAGTTCATCCTTTTCTTTTTTTCTGCCGAGTAAAACTCAGTGAGAAACCCGTATCAGTCTTTTTTTTTTGTGTGCTATTTGTGTTTCTGTTTTAAAATCATTTATGCTGTAGCATTTGGAGTTAGTAGCAAGGGGGCTTGATTTAACTATACTGTAGAAATAGCACCATCTCATGCGAAAGGAATATCAAAACCTATGACCGCATTTGCGATGTTATCTTTAATATATATACATTGGTTGTGATAGTATACTGACGAAGTTTCGCCACAACCACGTATTCGATGTATATACTCTGTAGCCGAAACGGGATATCGTATTGGCAAACGTATTGCGCGCTACATTTAATTCCTCTGCACTGAATCGATTTTTGTACTTATATGAGGAAGAAAAGAAGAATATTGCTCTCCTTTTTGCATAGCCATTGTTTAGATATGCACTTTACGCAGTTCGAAGATAAATTTGAAAGAAGCTATTTTGCAGAAGACAAGTTCAAA